GCGCCTTCAAAGGGCTTCGGTTTTCTTAAGTAAGATGGCCCTTCGAATACCCAGAGCCCAGATGGAACCTCGCCACTCAAGAGCAGAGCAGAAAGATCTGTGAGCAAACGAGATCGCCACTGCAGAGGTACAGCTTTAGAAGCTCAGTGGCCTTTTCTAATAGAGGTTTTAGGTTTTTACTATGTTATATGACAAGTCAAATAACCATGCTTTAGAGAATCCTACAGTAACAGCCAATATTTTGCTTCTTCATCGCTAAAACCGCATATTGTCCTTTCGATGATATTCTACTTATTGGTAAAATAAGAGATTTGCGTAGAGCATAAGCAGGTACTTTGAACAATCTAAAGACCAGCTGCTCTCTGTGATCCTCCCAGGGGCCTCCAGCAGTGCTCTTTCCCGGTTCCATGGTGAGAAGACTCCAAATTGCCCTCCCTCACCGTGGACCTGAGAAACCTGTCCAAAAAGAACGACAGTGGAGCCTGTCACACACTCAGAGCCCACCCCCCAGATCACCCAATGGTCAGACTCACTGTATAAAATGGTTCTCTTTCTGTCATGATTTCAAGCACCTATGAAAGGCCTAGGAGGCCGCGCAGGGGACCCAGTTATCTGTCACCCAATGGGTGACCCCACACTACTCTGTAATAAACAGTGCTGTCTTTGAACTTCCACTGTATCAGCCTCAATGCTTAGGTTTTCATGATGGGTAATTTGTACTGATTTCTGAAATGCACATCCACCTAATTTCCAACTGTGGACTTAGTTATGTTCCCAAACTTAGCACTTTTACACCTCAGATTCCACATTTCCATGAGAGGTGATCAATGGTGCTGAAGTTCTCAGTCCGACTCAGGAAAGCATGTTACCTCATAATGTCTCTGAAGGATTTAGGTGGCCCCACCCTCACCCCAACCCCTTCCTTCAAACCCTCTAATGATGTCTCACCACCTTGACTGGCATCTACCCTCCCACTCTGGCCTATGAGATGCCGTGGGCCCGGCCAGGCCTTTTCCTGCTCATTGCTCTCCATGCCTGCCTTTCTGTTCCTACAGGCGGCAATTTATCCCCCTCTCAGGGTCTGAGCTCATGCCGGGGCCTCTTCCAGAGCACCCCCTTCTCACACCCTCTCATGGCCTGCTCCTCATATCCAGTGCCCAGGGCACCTCCTCGGAGAGGCCTCTGAACTACTCTTTCATACCACACACACGCCAGGGAGTCGCCCACAGTACCCTTTGAAAAGATCTTAGCCCTTATTTCTCAACGTGTTAAGTGTCTGCCTCCCCCATTCAGACTGTATGCTCCATGAGAGCAGGGGCCGAACCCCGCACCCTACCACCTGGTGTAGCCACTGGCTTAGATGCCGCACTTGATAAACACATACACAGCGAGTGTGTGCACATGATGAACTCGGTGCAAGTGCTTCTATAAGACACGTTCAGAACTCAGTCGTGATAGCTGGGGTCCATCCCCCTTGCTGGCAGCTGGAATAGGGAATGTTTTACCGGTCCACATCCCTCCACCCAGTTACTAACCACATCCTGGTACTAACCACACCCAGGTGCTAACCACACCCAGGAACGAACGACATCCAGGTACTAACCACATTCAGGCACTAACCAACCACATCCAGGTACTAACCACATCCAGGTACTAAGCACACCCAGCTACCAAGCACACCCAGGTACTAACCACATCCAGGTACTAAGCACACCCAGCTACTAAGCACACCCAGGTACTAACCACATCCAGCTACTAAGCACACCCAGGTACTAACCACATCCAGCTACTAAGCACAGCCAGGTACTAACCACATCCAGGTGCTAGCCACATCCAGGCACTAACCAACCACATCTAGGTACTAACCAACCACATCCAGGTATTAACCACATCCAGGTACTAACCAACCACATCCAGGTACTAACCACATCCAGGTACTAACCACATCCAGGTACTAGCCACATCCAGGTACTAACCACATCCAGGCACTAACCATCCACATCCAGGTACTAACCAACCACATCCAGGTATTAACCACATCCAGGTACTAACCAACCACATCCAGGTACTAACCAACCACATCCAAGTACTAACCACATCCAGGTACTAACCAACCACATCCAGGTACTAACCACATCGAGGGCGTGCACCGCCGCCTCCACGGTGAAGCTCCAAATCTGATGGAACGAGGGACCACGTAGAGCCAGGCTCTGGCCAGGGTCTAATTTTCCTCGTATTTTTTGATCCTGGGAGCTGCCCCCACTTTTTTCCTTCTTCTTCAGCTTCCTGCTTGGGTTTCTGCCTGCCTTAGTCTGCTACAGAATGGCATTCTTTCACACCCTCTCCCTGCATCCCCTGACCTTGAAACTGGGACAGAGCCTTTGGAGGTTGTTACCAGAGTGTTTATCACTGGGGACAAGCTAACAGGGAGGAGGAGATCCCAGCAGGCGTGCTCTCGGACACACTTGCTGAGGGGAAAAGGCTGGCCGTGAGGCACAGAGCGGCTGGCACAGGGCGCCCCTGGCACACGCATGAAGCTTCGTGTCATTTGGTTTCCACTTATTGAAAGCACTACATTCAGAGTTCGCTCCCTGACAGTCCCAGAGCAATTCAGGGCCCCAAAGTCCAAAACGGGACCGAGGTAACATGAAGAAGCTGCGTGTGAGACTCCACCGTGGCCTGCAGCTCTCAGGCCCTAATAGCAAGTGTGGTCAGCAACCCGCCACTTATAGTTATTTCTCTTTTACCCGTGGCATCCGAGGAGTCTTCCAGTGGCACTTCATCTCAAATTTGGCAAGAGTAAAACTCCCTCTCGAGAGTAACATTTTATTTCCAGCCTGGCTCCCAACATTCACCCTGTCCAGGGTACCCTCTCTAACTTTCTGCATAGATGGGGGGAAAACAAACATACGAAGCAAAGCTTACTGTATAGAAAACCATAAACTGTTCAGAGCAGGGAGTTAGCTCATCAAAATAAGACAGTGGGACGTGGGGGTCTATTACTTCAAAGGAGTGAGAGGGAGTTTCCCATTTTTAGCAAATATATTATCAGTCCTTGGTAATAATAATAATTATTAGATAGATTTTTCCCCCTCTTGTCTGTGTGTCCTCTGTTACCAGTAAAACAAATTCTTCTAAAACAATCTATGTTTGTTGTTAAACATCACAAACTATTAGTTCAAAATATTTGTAATTATCTACAATTAATTATTATTGAATTGTGATGATGTTCCATTTCATTAAGGCAACCCTTCTTACATTTCTGCCAAATCTCTCCCTTCAATGTCTAAAATAATCAGGCACCCTAGGTATTTGTTGTAGTGGTCTATGAAAAACCCCATTCAACAAGCATTTATTCAAAATGCCTATTCTGTGCAAATTTCTATGCAGAGAGCTGGTGGGAATGCCAAGATGCTAAGAGAAAAGGAGAAAGTGCTGCCTTCAGAAGTGCTGACTACCATGGGGTGTGGGAGTGGGAGGGGGGTAATACACACAATACAGGTAGATCAAGCCCATCATCTCAAAACCAAGGCTGACATTTACATTTCTCTGAAAATGTTTTCTAAACTAGTTGGCTAGCCCCTGTCCTAAATCTAGGCACTTTTATAAATGCTCTCCTCAAGGACTTGATTTAAGGTCTCATTTTATATAGAAAGTTGTTTTATTATCCAATTAAATATCAACTTAATGTCCCCATTTGTTGTCCTGGGAAGAAATCTGGATGAAAATTAAAACTAGAAAGCTACAGAGAGAAGTAGCTTTTAAGGACACAATTACAACTCATTACAATCAGCAAAGACAATACACATACACAAGCACACACACACATACTACATCATATAACCATGGCTGAAAAGGGCTTACCTTACAGAAAATAACAACAAAAACACTGGCACCCCTGTTCATACAGAGCTACCAGTTTCCACCTTCTTTGACAATAAAATTGTCAACAGCCCCTTTTCCTTCTTAAACAGCTTTAAATGTATTTATTTTTCCCATTGCAATTCCATGTTATATTAGTTCAGGTACACAGCCATGATGGTTAGACATTTACGTAACTTAGGAAGTGGTCATGCCGACAAGTCCAGCACCCACCTGGCACCATACATAGTCACCACAATACTATTGACTGACTGTATTCCCTAGGCTGTTCTTTACATCTTGTGACTGTTTTGTAACTGCCAATTTGCACTTCTTAATCCCTAAACCTTTTTCACCCAGCCCCTCCACCCCCTTCCCATTTGGCCACCATCAGTTTGTTCTCTGTATTTGTGAGTTTGTTTCTGCTTTGTTTTCTTTCTATTTCTTCATATCTGAATTTCCATGACCCGAATTAGAATTCCAATGAAACTGATTCATACAAATGTTGTTAATACAGCAATGGGGCTAGAAATGAGACCTTCGATCTGGGCACCTGTGATAGAGGAATAATTGCCTGTTTTCTTTTCCATCTCTCTCCCCTCTCCTTAGAGCCAGATATTAATAAAAACATTGATACAATTAATGTTCTGCATATGGGCTTCAACTGAGCACATTTTAACAGATAAGAACTGTGGTTTGTTTGTTTGTTTTTAAGTGTTGTAATATCAAAACTGGTATATTGGTTTAATACTTAACCTTTATAAAATATTCAACAAGTCTTTAAAATGCAAATGTTTTACAAAATGTTCACTAGCTTAGATTTCCAAGAACTATCATCTAAAGTTAAAAATCAAACATCAAAAAATTCAAATAGACTTTACATTGTAGGAAGAAATACTTTTAAAAATTTCACACCATCCCTTCCTCGTTGAAGAAAAACACTTATTTACATATGTTTCTAAGGGTACATTAAGTTAATTTTATGTCTCTTTCCTGCCAAAGAAAATTCAGTTTCCTGGAGTTAAGGGATTACATTCTAATTCTTTTTTATTTTCATTTAAAAGTAGTCATAATATTTTTTTAAAGAGAACTAGCAAATGAACTAGACTCAAGAAGAAGTAAATATATAATGTAATTACCTTTTGTCTGGTCCCAAGTCCTCACCTTCAGGCATGTCTGCCCTTTAAAAATGCAAAGAGAGGGGAGAAGGCTGCAGCACGTCCGTGCCCAAGGCTTCTTCTCCACTCTAACGCGACCACAGGAGGGAAAATCCCAGTAGTCAAGTTCTTTCCTTTTTGGAAAAAAAAAAGCACTCCTCCCTTACTCAGAAAGTAGGTGTTTACAAACTTCCAACGCTCTTGCCTGCCGTGAATGAAGCTAAGAGCTGAGTTATTATGACTATCCCCTTCTAAAAATAAATAGGTCACCTCTTACTCCCAGTACCGTGACAGGCAGCTGGGAGCAAGCTCGGCCCAGCTGCCCCGCATTTTCTGTCCAGTCGTGTGAGGAGGTGTCACCACCCAACTATTAACCTTTGTTGGGATGACCTCACCTAGGCCTGCCTACCCTTTCTTTTTCCTTTTTTTTTTTCCTGGCTTGACCAGGCACCCCACCGACGGGCAGCGTGGCCACGGGGAGCTTGGAACTTCAGCTGGGCTATCAGGTCTCCAACCCCCAGGAGGGAGCTGGAGGGTGGAGAGCAAAATGGGCCGAACGTGCCAGAGCTGAGAGGTTTGTTTGTTCTGAGAATACTTTTGCCACTCAGCAAAAGAGCTCTCACTTAGGGGAAAAAAATGCCCATAAACAATGATGTTTTGAGGGATAGTGTGTTGCATGAAAATCTTTCCTTAGGTCATTGAGACTTCTCAACTCAGAATAAGTTTGCACACCAATAGGAGCCCCTGTGCTCCTCTGGGCAACATGGTCTTTCCCACAGGACTCCCCTCTGTCATCAGGGAGCAGCCTGACATGGGACACAGCTCGGCTCATCACTACCTTGGAGTCATCAATCACTAGGTACCCTCATTTGCTGCCACTTCTCAGACCAGGACAAAAATCACTTCAATTCTTTTACCAAAAGGCTAAGAGAAAAGTTTGTACCAAGGTGGTCAAAAGGTACAAATTTCCCTTTACAAAATAAGTCATTCAATAAAATATATTTTTAAAAAAACAAAAAAAATAATGTTGTATTGTATATTTGTAAGTTGCTGAGAATAGATCTTAAAAGTTCTCATCTCAAGAAAAAAATTTGTAATCATGTGGTGACAGACAGTAACTAGATTTGTGGTGGTCATTTCATAATATATGCAAATATTGACTCATTATGTTATACACCCAAAACTAATATAATGTTACATGTCAATTAAAATAAATACTTCAATTTAAAAATAGAAAGTATAGCTCCAGCCTCATTTAAAGGAGGGCAAAAGGCTAAAGAAATATTACTGAGATTCCTTTAGAAATATATCCTAAATGCTTTTTGCATACGAACTTGAAACTACTTTGTTTTCCTGATTGGTAACATTAAGTAAGGCAGTAAGCAAGATCTAATTATTAAGAAACAATATACCTTTCTTTTTAAAAAAATATATATTTTATTGATTTTTACAGAGAGGAAGGGAGAGGGATAGAGAGTTAGAAACATCGATGAGAGAGAAACATTAATTAGCTGCCTCCTGCACACCCCCTACTGGGGATACTGGGGATGTGCCTGCAACCAAGGTACATGCCCTTGACCGGAATTGAACCTGGGACCCTTCAGTCCGCAGGTGGACGCTCTATCTACTGAGCCAAACCGGTTAGGGCTACCTTTCTTTTTTAAAAAATGCTTGTATTCCATTGTCACCTTATAGCTGATCCTAGCAATACAGCTATAGCTAATGTGTATTTCACATTTATGTTTCAGAGTGACTTCTAGTGCATTAAAGAACTGAAAAGTCAAAACAAATCACATCATCTGCTTTCCTTCGGTAGTGTTCACTATTTTGTGATACATGCATGTCACAATTCAAGATATTTCTTCAGTATTTCATACAAGATCTACAGTTGTTGACCTCAAAGTCGAAGGTTAAGTCGGTGCAGATATCTGCACACATAACTCAAATACCGTTGACCTTGAAAGAAAACAGCCATCAGCAGAGCTCTGAAGAGTAAGCTGGGCAGGAGCCTCTCGGCACTAAAGCAATGGGCTGTGTTGTTAGAAATGTGAGGATTAAGGAACTTAAAGGTGAAGCACTGAAAATCTGATCAGTGAGAATACTGCTGTACTTTTATTTAATCTTAACAAAAAGTGCTAATTCTCTGATCTAACTCTCAGTTCTGACCATTCTTTCCCATTAATTTTACCTTTCGTTCTCCTAAGTGTCTAGTTTACTACTTCTTGACTATCCGAGCCCAGCTGCTGCTGAACTTAGCTGCTGGTCACTACAGACTGAGTATGTCCCTGAAAGCTGCCTCTCGATTTTAAAGGGCTGCTAACTGATCGGTGCGGTAACAGCTGAACTGCCCATTACTACCAAGAAATAGTGACTAAAACATTTCCTTCAAGCACTCCTTCATGCATTTTGTACTTACTGGCTTCCAACAAGAAAAACAAGCAAACAAAATCGCATACACACAGACAACAGTATGGTGGTGACCAGAGGAAAAGGGGAGAAGGGAGTAAGGAGTAAAGGAGGCCAAATATATGGTGACAGAAGATGATTTGACTTTGGGTGGTGGGCACACAGTGCAATATACGGATCATGTGTCATAGACTTGTACACTTGAAACCTATATAATCTTATTAACCAATGTCACCCCAATACATTTAATATAAAAAATTATTTGCTTCAACCATGAATTCCCCTTTGGTATATTTGTGTTCATTACTGAAATCAAAGGACAAGAAGGGAAAACACGGATAGCACAGACTGACACAGTGGGTGGCTTCCTCGCATCAATGCCGCCTTCAGCCCTGCGGGGGTTGGGGTGCCAAGGATTCCCTCATCTCTGCTGACCTGAAGTCCACTGGGCATCCTGGAGAATAGGACAGGGAGAGCCCCTGAGGACCACAGACACTGAAACAGGCTCAGCAAAGTGAGGTGATCTGCTGTTGAGAGAATTACAGATCCGAGTAACTCTTTTTGATTACTGGTATAACATAGCATTTGGGGTGGGGAAGCTTTTATCGCTTTGAAAGCCACGAATGTAGGACAAGTCTCAGTAGGATTCCACCAAGTAGAAAGGAGAGGGGACCGTCTCAGTGGTGTGGCATGTTGTGATTACCCGTCATTACCAAATGCATCATTGACACCATGTACATACAGGGTCATTTGATCCTTTAAAAAATTTTTTTAATCTAAGGGGGGGGACATGTAAACTCCACAAATAACACATCTGCCCACTCACTCAGCAGGACGGTGGGTGACAGCGGATGGGGAAAAGCAGGAAGTGACATGAAGTGAGTACAGGAGTAGCCTCGGGAAACATGGAGCGGAAAAGCGGCCCTTGAGTGACTGCTTAAGGAAGGACCACATGAAATGAGGCTGGTGCTCCGACCTCATGCGTCATCACCCTACGTCACTGGCTTGTTTTTTTATTATATCCTGTGTTTACTGAGACCCATCTCATTGCACTAAACATGGTCCCTACAAACTCATTTGTGATCCCCCACTCTGAGGCGCTGTAGTCACCTGAAATTGGTTTTGTTCCTGCCTACTTACTCATTCCTTCTCTTCTTAAAACATAGTTGATATGTTTCTGTATCAAGCCAATTTCTTTCTTTATCTCCTCTTCTTCTCATCCTTCCCCAACTCCTACTCCATCCAAAAAAATCTATAAAACTCCAACAGAAGTACAGACACTGGTAGAAATCAAATTCCCTAGGGGGCCAAATGTTAACATTGGTTCAAGCTTCCCTCCACAGCACACACCTGTTCCTGAATAGTTTTGCTTGCTTATGTAAAGCTCTCTTCAAAGGCTCTATGTATATTTCAGGGGCAAAGGTCTTTGGTTCCAAGAAATTTAGAACACAAAGCCAGAGGAGAAAAAGAAGTCTGGCAGACCTCACTGCTTTTAGCAAGCATAAGGAAATGGAAATTTTCTAAGATCACGAATCCTAGAAACAGAGGTCTTTGTGGACTGTGGAAATCTAGAGTGAACAAGAGTGGCACACAGCTCAACACAAATCTTATCTCTTGAGCTTAAAAATATAATGCAAGATAGAGGGCAATAATAACCTTCAGCTTAACTATTAATTACGTAATACGTTTGTTATATGTTGATCTTCCTTATCATATGTTCTGTAGATCAATGTTAAAAATTACTTTTCATTCCTACATAGCACCTGATAGGATGCTTCTTGGCTAACGTTTACCCAGTGGAGAAGCCAAACTGCACTGGAGACTTTCCACTTGACTAGGCCTGCAACAGGGAATCATTATTTCCACATTAGTTTTGAGGTGATGGGTTGGGTGGCCAGAAAGCCTCCTTCTATCCCTTTTCCTTTGCACCAAGTGACACCATTGTGGTCTTGGCTGGCTGAGCTCCACCTGCTGACCCAGCCTTGGTTGGGGATGAGAAATCTCTTCAGACATTGAAAGAACCTCTCCTCCTGGCAATGGTGTTTGAGGAAATGTGCTCCCTGGGCCAATATCCTACAGCCTGTAGGCATTTTTGAAGAGGAAGCAGCTCCTTTAGAAGCTTTTGCTATAAGAAAAGCTGAGCATCTGCAAATCCTGGTAAGTGGGAAAGAAGTCGGCCTTGACTTAAGAGACCTTATAACTGCTTCTCGTAGAAGGACAGACCCCGCCAACAACTTCATGGGCAGGTCTCCTTATTGCCTCAACCACTCTGTCTGTCTGCCTGATAATAAATCTGGTGTATCTCCTTCAGGCCACCTCAGGTTTCCAAATGATACAACTTGAAGGTGTCTCATAAGTGACTTCATTCCCACCAGGTCTGAGGAAAACCTTCAATGAACAGCAAAAAGGAAGAAATCCAAAACCTGAACCCTGAAGAGCCTCAGAAGAGAACCTGGGCCCAGTGAGACTCTGATGAGGTTAATCCCCAGTTTCCTGTCTCCACAACCATTCCTTGTGAGGGGTTTCCTCCAGCACCTCTCTCCTATAAGCATAACAAACTTGCTTTATTTTAATGGACTTTTTGTTTGGGTAGAATTTTAGCTTTCTAGAACAGTTGC